GGAATGGGTTCGCCTGTGAATTAAGATGAAGTTTGGCGGTAACTCTACCTAACTGACTTGAGATCCCAAGAAATAGGTTCAAGGAGACAACTAAGTCAAACTAAATCTGCCCAAAGCACTGTAAGACTTCGGTCTATAGCTAATTTTTATGATGATTAAACAGTGATACATGTAAGGATTTCAGGATAAGCATTTGCTTTTAATAATTTGTGTCCATGGTTTTGAAATATTAATGGAGTAGTAAATGATGCTCTTCTAAACAAAACTAAGGCAAATCACCTTGTGAGTGTGAAATGGAGCTGTTTCTAGGAGAATGAAGGAAATACTTTATTCTCTAAATTCACTCATGATTACCAGGAATGTTCACGGCCAAAATGAACACAATAGAAAAATTAGTTTTGTGAGAGAATGAAGCTGTGTTATAACTATTTTCTAGGTTTACACCAAAGCTCGGGAGGTTCAAGACATCATGGCCACCTCCTAGCCGAGTAAATCTGATAGCTATTAACAATAACTGGTTCAAGGCTGAAAATTGCTACAAATTCATCATGCAATGAATTTTTTGTTTGTACTCTCAAAAGTCCTTAGGTTGAGTCTTATCTAGGAAGTCAAGCCTGTTGAGTCTTCAGGTGTTTAGAGTCATTTCTATCCATGTGGGGGATTGTTGGAACTCGTTTTTGACAAAATGGTTTAAGACCATTTTTTGGTAAATTTCCGAATGAATACGTTCATCAGAATAACAAAATGTTTGACACTATAAATAGTGTAATCATATGTCAAAATCGAAGTTAGTTTTAAATCAGAAATTGAAATTTAAAGTGGATACTTGGAAACTTGTAAAGTATAAAAATTAATAAATAACCACTTTAGAAATGATGGATTTGGGTTTGGTGTATTAATTTGTTAACTGAATATTACATCTAGTAACTTATTATTTTACACCAAATTTATATAAATATTTTGTGATAAATTTAATTTACACAAAAAGATCCATTATGAAGCATATTGTTATTTGAGAAATTTATCAAATATAATATCTTCATTTTAAATGCGATGGAATCTTGGTAGTAGGTGTTTGACTCACATTTACCATGGTTCATACATTTACTATAAAGTCCATAAAAGGCCATTATACCACTTACGTTTGATTTGGTAGAAACCATAACGTAATGGTTTGTCATAATTGTGTGACTTATGGCTCTCATTTTCTGTCTCTATATAAAGGTGTTTGTCATTATAGAAAATAAAGATATTGAGATTCATACGAGTAACAACGAGATTCTCTCATATTGAGTAGTTATGTTTTAGGGTAAAATGCTGGAATGCTTTTAATGAGGTAAAATTCATTTTGTCATACTCTTACTTATTGTCACATACTCTTCTCTATTCTGATATTTTTCATATGGGTGGATATGTCGAAAGTGCCCCTCCCTACTTGACTGACTTAATGACCAATCATAATCAGTCAAAATCGAGAATCCTATGAATTGTTTTTATTTCCAAATCGGGAGTGATCTATTTTTTTCTCCCTCATCCGCGGGACTCGTTTCTTTCTTCTTCTTTGTCATTATCATCGCATAGGTCGGTTGAATTTGTCCGCTTAGATGTTGAATCATTGAGCTATTGATTCCGTTGACAGGCTATGTATCTTAAATCGTTCATAACTCATCGTAACCCAATGTTTAGAATCCACCATACACGATTGATTTACAGAGATTCCAAATTACAATTCTAATTGGAATAGAGTAATTGAGGATTGGAATGTGTGAATAGTATGTCTATTATGAAATTGGATAATTAACAAATGTAATCATAAGAAAAAAGAAAAGATAGAACGTCGGGAATCCAAGCTGATAACTATTGAAACGAATTGAAGAGGACAAATAGCTAGAACTAGAAAAGTTGGGAAAATTTGGGAAAACTTTTGAAAATTCGGGAAAAGTTGGAAAAAATTGGTTACTAACAAAACTGTGTAACAAGGTATAACTTCGTATAACTAACATGCTATAATTCTATAACGAGGAATAAATAAGGTATAACTTAGTGGTTAAATTTTTTTTAATTGCAGATGACTCTTTCTTCTACAAACATACACTTTGATTACGATGGACATTATTCTAACTCTGCAGATAATTATGAATTGATTCCAACCGGTGGTCGTTTGTATGGTATATCCTTTAGGACATCATCATTGGAGGAGATCACTTATTTGTTGTTGAAGAAGAGAATATGTAAGAAGATGGAAGTAGATCCGTTTACAAAGAGGCTGAAATTTGGTTACATTCCACTGGTAGTGGAACCTAAGAGACAATCATATATTTTGGATGATGAAGATGTGTTTGTTTATCTAACATAGGTGGATAAAGAACAAAGAATAACTATTTTGCATGTAGAAGACACCCAAGAATTGGAAATAGCTCAAATAGCCGAGCAACTATCGAGAGTTGAGAATGAAAGCTCATGTAGTAGGAACTATGGTGAACGTGAGAGTGGATATGGAGAAGAAGAAGATAATGTGAGTCATAGTTTGGAACATAAGGAACATAATGAACATCCCCACAAGAAACACAAGAGGACACGTTGAAAGGTGAGATTTGTATTTTGTGTTGTGCAACTAAGTAAAACTTTATCCTTTACTGGTATAAGTACGATAGGTAGACTGATTAATAGGATTGTAAATTTATAACTTGTTACGAAAGTACTAAGATGGTATTTTATGAGTTATTTTGGGTTGTGTTGGTTATGATTTTATCAGAACAAAAAAAAATTTTCGTTGGTTATTAGTAATCATGATGTCATTACACTGTCTTCTTATATGTTTTTCTAATATTCACCTTGTCTAATTTGAAATCTTACTAAGTAATGAAATCGAATTTATGTATACATGGACAAATGAGAAATGAATCTAGTATACAGAACATAACTGGTATAACCATAAAATCAGTCATTGTAATAGAGTAAAACAAAGATAAATGGAAAAAAATATAAAGTACAACTTTGATATTTTTTGTAAAACTACAATTTGGTAAAAATTATAAAGTACAACTTTAATATTCACCTTGTCTCATTTGAAATCTTACTAAATAATGAAATCGAGTTTATCTATACATGGACAAACGAGAAATAAATCTAGTATACAGAACATAAATGGTATAACCATAAAATCAGTCATTGTAATAGAGTAAAACAAAGATAAATGGAAAAAATTATAAAGTACAACTTTGATGTTTTCTGTAAAACTGCAAATTTGGTGAAATTTCAATCATAAAAATACTAGGCTAAAAAATTCCCGCCCACCAGTTTTTCAAATTTTTAATCTCACTCTTCCCCCCTTCTCAATCCAATTAGTACTAAAACTCTTACTTTTTTGTTTTCTCACATTCTCTGAATTTCACTTTCTCTCTCTTCCCTTTATCTCTCTTTCTCTCTCATTTTTTCTCTTTCTCTCTCTCTCTCAACCGAAATCCCCCAATGTCGAATCTAGTTATGTCGATCTTCCACGACCGGTGGTCGGAGACGACGAGTAAGAACTCCAGGGATACCTAAGAAGTCTTGGTGCAGGGAGAGCATCACCAAGCTCATCTCCAAATCTGGTCCAAATCCATATTGCCGGAATTATCAGTGTCTCGATGCGGCAAAAAAGGGTAACGTCCGTTTAGCTTTAGTTATCGATGGGTTCTTCTCTTAAATATTTTGAACAAAACGTTGGAATGTTGTAGCTCTAGAACGACGATCACGTCTTCAAATGGGTCGACGAAGCTTTGACTGATGAGATTGAACAGTTAGAGTAAGTTTGAATGCTAGAAGAAGAAGTTCAATTGCTCAAAGCAACGACAACAATAAGCAGTGAAAGTCCCAAAATAATGCATAAGATAATGATATCAGAATGTTGTGTTGTTAGTATCATCATTGTCGTTGTAGTTCTCGGTCGATTTATGATGTACAAATGATTCCTAAAGCTAGTAACTTTGTCAAACATTCTGTTTTGTCTAAGTTTTTTGTAATTTATGTGAAGTTAAACATTATGTTTGTCTAAGTTTTTCCTAAGTTTCTCATAAGTTATGCGAACTTAAACTACTACGAAGTATGGTCAATTGAAAAAGTTTCTCAAATGTTTACGATGTTGGAAAATTGAGAAATTGAACCTAACACAAAATTTGACATGGTTATACGAAAACCAACTTTCAAGTTAAGTTGAACTACTAAGAAGTTTGGTAAACTTAAAAGTTTCTCAAAAGTTTACGATGCTGGACAATTAAGAAATAGAACCTAACACAAATTTGACCTGGTTATTCGAACACGGACTTCATGTTAACTGCACGTTATTCTTAGGTTCACGCACTTGGACAATTACAAAAGTTAAGAAAACTATTAATAATACACATTGACGCAGTTCAACATCACAAACCAAATTTCAAAAACACTAATACATTAGATAAAACCTTACAATTGCCCTATAGCTCTGTACTTCCGAGCATAAGGGTCACTGTTATTGACCAATTGTCTGAACTCCTCTATCTTCGGCAAGCGCGGATTGAACTTGAAGTCAGATAAGTCCCCCTCAGCCTGAAGCCATTCTTCTATAGGACCATAATAAACTCTATAAATGAGTTTAGAGAAGGTTTTAGACAACTAACACATTTAAACCTGAACACATAAGCATAGACTTCACTTACAGAAATAGTCGCGGACCCTCCACATCTTAAGGAAGACAATCACATGTCGACGACCTCCCTTGTTTTCAAATCCTTCCCGGAAGGCATGCCACACATTTTATCTGAATCTCACTATGATGAATAAAAAAAAGGTGAGTCAATTACACTAATGCAAACATTTTTTTTTGATTATATGTTACTTAATACTTATATGTTGCCCTTATGTAAAACACCATCTTTGGTCCTTCAGGATCATCGAAATGGGTTTCCGTCTTAAAGACCACTCCCATTGTATCTACCAGATAAGTATATTCGATTCCGTTACTTACATATGAAATATATTTTTTAGTTAGAATTCATATCTATGGGAACTTTTTTCTCCTTGTAGCTCATGTGAGGGATTTCATGAATGCATTTGAACTCAAAATAGAGCTGATCGTTCAGAGGATCGATGATGTGGATTTGGGTATCGCCAGTAGCAGTTAGTGTGAATTTAGATTTTGCTGCCTTGAAACCTGAATGGGCACGGCTAACTTCTACAATAAAGATTTCCACCCATTTTCTCTCTTGCTTCTCTAGACCTCTAAACCTACTCTATATATATCATAGATGGTCATCTCCAACTTGGTTCCCTGGATAAATTAAGTTCAACGAGCGAGTTTATATTTTCCATTGTTGTATTAGAAACTTGAGAGATGATGATTTTGTACTTACATGTTCATCTGCTAGGACATAAACATGGTGTGGTCTTTTGCCGGTAACATAGGAATAGACAATGATAGATCCTTATGATTTTCATTCTGAAACGCCAATGCTTGACCTTCTCGTTATAAACAACTTCACCAAGAGTATTGTAGTGTTCCATATTTGAAAGATGACGAATTATTTCTTTGCGGTGAAATATTTTTAGATATAAAGGAAACGATTTAACTTAACTTACTGCGGTGGAGTGGAGATTAAATTGAGGGTTTCTAAAATTGAATGCAAATGTAATGATGATTTGGTTTAGTATTGTGGGATTTAAATGAAGTGTAATGATGATGATAGGCGACTGTTAGTGTGAAAAGTCATGTCTTTCTTACTTAACTCAACTTGTTGCGTTGGGATAATAAATCTGAAAATTATGGAGGGGAAGACACCGTCTATCAGATCACTCTTAAATGGAAGAGTTACAACTTGTAGTTGGGGTAATAAATCATTATTATACAAATTAAATTACTCTTCATTTATTATCCCCTATATTTCTTACGGAATAACATATTTATTTCTTAAAGGTTTACATAGTTTTATATATTTATACTATCAAAATTGTTACACTATCCAAATTGTTAAACGTTTTTCTTAGTTTCATATATTTAGACAATTTAACTAAGCGGTTTCATTTAGTTTTAAAAAGTTATTTATTTTTATCATGTAAAGTTTTACAAAGTTTTAAATCCAACGCATGTGACTGTTATAGTCAGAAGTCGTGCCTTCTCGAGACCTCGATCAAATCATCCTTAACTCCCGTGATAAATACAATCTTATCTCTTCTCCACTGTTGAGGATCATCGCTATTATAAAAAGGTTTATTATTTTGTCCAAATAAATAAAACGTTAATCTTTTGATTTACGTGATAAAACAAATATCTCACCATGTCGAACTCCAACTGGCTTTTCTCCCTCCTCCCATGCTTCACAAGATTCTCTCTAAGGTAGCAGCAAACCATCTCTGGAACTTCGGTAATGCAAGAGTTGCATTACCCGCCTTCAATCATATTGGCAGAGAAGAATACTTCTACAAATCTGCAGATCTTATTCAATTCAATGATTGGATTGATGAGATTAATGTTGTCAGAGCATACATGCTTAAGTGCTACCAAGCCGGTAATCCACATGCCATCTACATGTGAGGCATGTATGAGTTCTTCGTCCTCCATTTACTTGATCAAGGAAAAAAAAATTGTCTTGCAGGTGAGAGGGGATTTTTGTTGGCCAAGTACATTGATGATATGCTCAACTTAGCATTTAGTGTTGATGATAGAGGACTGGTTCACAACTTTCCTACTTTTTACATGTGAGTTTGCTGAACAGATGAATCACATGCTCACTACTGAGGTATCCTCAGGTCATTGGGGTTACGAAAAACCATAGATCTTTATGTCTCTATTGGAAAAGATAGATCCCAACATCAATTATAATTGATGGTGCTCTGAAATGATACAACTGGTGCTTGTTGTCTCCTTCGATGGATCAAGAACACAGTAGAAATGCAATCGTTGTTTCTGGCAATGTGCAGTTTGGGACTTCTGCACTGATATTCATTTGACTGCTGCTCACTGGTCAATTGAAGATTAGAGATGAAGTATTTTCGTGTGTGTATTTTTAAAATTTTATGTAAAATACATTTCCCTTAACTTAATCTATAGTTTTTATTTATTTTAATTTCATTAAATATATCAGTAACATAATACAAATGAATAACTATTTTTATATGTCTTGGATTAACTGTAATCAAAGTTGAATCGATATGTTATCACTAAATATATCAATAACATATTGCAAATGTACATGATACAATCAAAACTAGTTGAAGGTTAACTAAGTTGTATAGTTATACTATAAGTGTAAATTAGTTCAACTTGGATTACAGTTACACTTACACCAAGTTCTATAATTACACAAAGTTTCAATAATGCTTCTGAAGTTATGGACATTGAAGATCCAAATTTTATGACTCGGGTCTGGATGGTCCACGAAATACCCCTGGTTGCCTTGTAATTATTTGAGTTTCTTTCGGTGTTATGGTGTTTTACTAAATTTTCCTGTTTAAATAAATATTTATTCAATTTATTTGGGCGTGAATTATGGGCAGGAGTATTTGGGAACAAAAATTTTCGGGTAGAGGTACTGGAGCATTTGATTCTATATTTTATCTTTATTTTTGAGTCTGAGAGTACATCAAAAAACTAGTTTCGTTAGGCTTCTGATAAAGTAACGTAGATCAGAAGATTTTTTGCAGATATATCATGGGATACATTACGTTATAGACCGTCGCACTACGTGACGTATTTTGGGTTAAGGAAAAAGATAATATCTCGACTCTACTACTGTATCATCATCTTTTATTAATTTTTAGTATAATCTTCTCGTTTAATTTCTTACAATATTCAGTTCTCGGTAGTTTATATATAATGGATCTATTAGGATAAGACATGCGGCTTCTGTGGGATAAATTATATAAAAATTAATTAAAATTATTATATGGAAACATAAATATATATTCTTGTTTGAATTAATATTTTGAAATTTTTTTAAAATTTTTTTTGCTAATTACATAATTTTTTTAATCATGAGTTAATATCATTTTTAAAAATGTTTTAGGTCAAAATATCACTTACCGCAAAGAACATAACGTTTAGATCAAAAAGATATCAGTTATATTTGGTTACGATGAAACTATGTCAACTCAGTTGTATATCACGGTTTAAAAATTTTAAAATTAATTATGGTTAAGGGAAGTTTACGTTCACATGTCAGTCCTATCTATCTTCAATATTTTTCTCTTTTTGTGTTTTTTTCATATTGGTTATTCCTCGATATAACTATTAATTTTGAAGTTTATTCTCATTTTTTGTTTGTTTTGATCTGAGATTTAGAAAATGTTTAAGATTTAAAATAATTAAAGATATACATACATAGGTTAAGATCTGCACTTTTGTAAAATAATTATTTTATATTTATTATTTATTATAGATTTTTCTGCATATTATGAAATAAGAAAATAATAATTATAAATATTAAATAAATAAGAAATCAGTTACTATTATTCGACAAATTGGCGTATGCATATAAATCTATCAATTACTCTTGTTTATTTGCAATTAGGGTAAATAAATCAAAACAATCAATCTTATCTACAGGATATGAAAGATATTTAAATTTAAAATGATATTAACATTGATATATAGCACACTTAAATATGGATATTTATTAAATGAGAATTCTACTCATATGATTTTATGATTATTTAACAAAATTTTACACCAACAAATTTTTTTTAATGTGAGATATCTAGTAGTTTCAATAATTTATAATCATTAAAAACAATAATAGGTTTCAAAACTAAAATATTAACTTTTCAACATATGTTCAATGCAAATATTAAAATATAAATATGTATTTTCATATGATGTATAATTTAATTTAAACGATATGAAGTATAATATATATATATATATATATATATAATATATATACATATATATACATATATGTATATATAGTAACATAAAACTTATTAAAATAAAATTATTTGTTCATATGGTCTTATAATCATTATATTGTAATATAGAATCAAATTTAAACATTAATCATAAAGCTTATGTGAGATTTTTAACAGTTTTAGTAATTTATAGTTGTTTTGAAAAATTCAAAATACAACATACACAAAAAAAAATCTAGATTTTTTATTCTATGATTAATGTAATTGTGTAATTTATTTTAATAATAAAGAATTAAAAAAAATACAGATAGTTATCAAATCTTAATTGTTTAAAATCATTAATTGTCACATATATATTTTAAATACATTAGGTAATTTCGTAGGTTTAATTTAAGGAAAGTCTGTGAAACAATAAATATTTGATATATGAGACCATTTATAGCTTGCGAATATTATATTGCTATAGAATAAAAATTTTGATCTATAATTTATATAAGATGCTCTAAACACTTTATAACTTAAATTAGAAGACATAAAAACATGTCACATAGAATAAAATTATTTTTTAATTAATATAAATTTAAAGTTAAATCTTTTTTAATTAATTTATAGGGGATTCTTTACGATTTGTCATGCTTCAACATTATAACTATTGATTTAACATAACACTCTACATATATAATCTATATAATAATAGTACACTTTTGAAGTTCTTCAGCGTGTCCACGTCAGCAAATTTGCGAGCCTCACGCGTGTTATTAGGAAAAACAAAAACGTATAACATTTTGTAAGATTGAATGTTATTGATGAGTGATGAAATGATCCAATGGTGTAAGTTGGTGACGAGAAGTTGGTACCGCGAGTGCACGGGTTCGAAACACAGTGATTGCATGTAATTTTTTTTTTAATTTGGGCTTTTCAGAATACCTAAAAGCTTAATGAGATTCATAATGATTTTTTATGCTGGTTGTTAGGAAACAAAATGGCTTAAGGATTTAAAACTTTATGAGACTATCTTATATACTTTTATAAGAAAGGTTATTATGTTCTAACCTCCAATATCATTTCAATTCAGTTATAATCATCAAATAAAATAAAAACATATTTTTTCAATGATAAATATTTATCCCGAACCATTCAGATCGGCCATAAATCTCATATACATCACAATTAAAAAAAATATATATATAGAACATAATTTCAGAAAGAAAATTACACTAATAAACACATGTCTTATTTTTGTCTTGTCTTCATTAAATTATTTTTTACATGAAAGCACTAATAACAGTAATGCTCGATAAAATCACTAATAAAAGGGAATGCTCGATAAAATCACTACGAAGATAAAATATAAAAATATCAACACATATGAATTCGATGTTTATTCTTTTATCAAACTAATCAAGTTGTCAAGTTGTGTGACTTCTAATATTTCATTCATCACCATTATAGATAAACCAGATAAACAAATATTAAAAAAATAAAAAAATTTCATACACAAAACTACATAACACATTAACAACGTTATCCAACTTCGCGCAAGCGCGGGGACTATGCTAACAATAAAAGAAACAATGTATGCTAGATATATGCGGAACTTGGCGAAGTCATGAACAAAATATTCTTCTATTATTTCTTTATTAGCGACCGATGGAATGGAATTTTGTCCGTATTACCTATCGAACTATCGAAGCATGCGTGGTTGAAGCTTCTTTGTCCGAAAAAAATTTCTGTTCAATCCTGACGTGGCCACGTGAAGTTTGACTCTATCCTGGTTTGTTATCTTATGATCAGATCGTTGGTTTTAACTTTTAACTTTTAAAAAAAGCTGGTCGAGAAAACTCTCCCAGGCACAATCTTCAATGAAGGGCAACGGCATGCACCCAACGGTTATTAGCGCGAAAGTGACCTCTCACTTGTTTTCCAAGTAAGGAAAGATTCTCCTGACATCCTTCTGTACCCGTCTTGGAAGCCCTATTACTTTACCACAAGAAGCATCCTCCAAGGCTCGTTTTTCAAATTTCAAACCTCAACCATTCAGATCTACTCAACTTCATCACTACACTTTCACCTCTTTTCATCAATTCCTAGCTCTCAACCTCGATCTCAACCAGTTGACACCATGACACATCGATTTACCAGAGAAGAAAAAGGGAAGGGACCTCTGTCTGGAACGGAGGACGCGCTGATCAAGCGAATTAAAGCTCCAAGGGTGGATAATTCGGCTCTTATCAAGGAAAATGCACTCACACTCATCGGAAGAGTAACAAACCCGAAGGAACAAAGAATCTACGCTCTCATCCCTGCACTCCCACGAAAATGGCACATTCAAGGAAGAGCTTCGGGGTCTGACCTAGGAGGAGGCTGCTTTCAGTTTAGATTTGAAAGAGAGGAAGATCTACAAAGAGTACTGGACAACAGACCGTACCATTACAATTACTGGATGGTCATACTCCAAAGGTGGGAACCTATCATCTCATCCTCCTTCCCATCTCAAATCCCTTTCTGGATAAGGATTAAGGGTCTCCCACTTCATTTCTGGTTGGATGATATGGTTCGGGATATTGGAAAAGCACTGGGAACCTTACTCAACCACGAACTCACAAAGAAGACAGCTAGAGTCCAGGTGTTAGTCGACGGTCTCAAACCGCTAACTACAAAATCCATTGTCGAGTTCGACACTGGAGAGGAGTGTCTAATATACCTGGACTACGAACGGCTAGAGAATCACTGCTCAATATGCAACTCCCTCGCGCATCTGAAACATGACTGTCCCCAACTCAACGAAGTGACAACAGAGTCCCCAGTAAACAAAGGAAGAGAGATAGAACAGGCCTACCTGCTCCATAAGTCTCCGGCGAAGGTGAACAAACAGCTGCAAGCCAAGGACACCTCTTATAGAAAGGTCTCAACTCCTCTCTCACCCATCAGAGGCGAATCTTGGTACAAACAAGTTGATGAACCATACCATGAGAGACTCGACAGGCATGGAAACCCTTTTGGTAATAGAATCACCACGAGGCACACTAGAATGGTCCCAGCACTACCAGGTGACCAGAGGAAAAACAGAGAAGAGCTAACGACCTGGAGACGACCAAGCGCAGCAACCGAAGACGGAACGACAGGCTACAAATCCCCTCCCTACACAAGGAACAGAGTTAACACAAGTAGAGGCGAAAAAGTCAACCGACCTCTGTTCCCTCACAAGGAGACTCGTGAATGGAGGGCTAAGATTCCGGCTAACCAGCAGGAAAATATTCCTACCAAGCACAAGGAACACGAGGTGGATGGAAACAAGGAACGGACCCCAGAACATGTTCAACAGACCCCCATGCGGTACCAAACTGAGGAAGAAGTGAGGAAAGATTTGGATGAAGCAACCATGCTTTATCTAAGCTGTCCAGACCCGACGGAAGCGGCAGCCAGAAGACAAAGGGTTTTACTCTCCGATGTTAACGGACAGACCGAGGAAACCACAGCAGCTATTATGAGAGCTCATGGTCTCCCCACTGATCACATGACAATTCAAACTCATAAAAGGCACGAGGAAGCGGAACATGCAAGAGAACGAGTCCTACAAGAGTTACACTCGGCAGCCTTACAGTACATGAGCAGTGCAAACCCAACAGAAGCTGCAGCTCGAAGGCAAAGAGTCACACTAGGGGATGCTGAAGGCCAAACAGAGGACACGGCTGCATCAATCTTGGCTGCAGAAGAGGACCAGAGAAGATCCCTGTCTCCTTGGGAAAGAGGGATCATCCCTGTGAGCCCACCAGGAATTGATTTCGAAACGGCAATGCAAAATGTGAGCTGTGATGAACTCCCAGAACCTGAGCACAACAAAGATATTGAAAGACAAAAGAAGGTGAGCAATCATAGACCAACGATGGGAACACCAAACATCTTAAATGGTACTAGCTCCAAAAAGAGAAACATGTCGCAACTGAGATTCTCACCAGGGAGAGGAAGTAAATCACCAGAAAGTAAGAAACGAAAGAAAGCCTCTCCAAAAATCAAGAGCAAAGCATTAGCAGGAACATCAACTAGGGACAGTAATCCTCCAATCCAACTTATCCCGGCTGTGTCCAAGAAGAAACCGGATTTTCGGTCTCTTCGTCACCAGGGTCCTTAGCTATACTGACCTGGAATTGTTGTGGGCTGGGGAACCCCATAACAATCCAGAGGCTGAAGGAGATCCATCGCAAAAACTCTCATGATGTGATCTTCCTGATGGAGACAAAAAACACAAATGATATGATTCTTTCGACACTAGATTGGCTAATCCCAGAGAACTATCACTCAGTTCCCCCAACCATCAATAGTGGTGGTGGTTTATTTCTGGTGTGGAAAAAAAGATATTGAGCTTGTTGTCAACTCATCATCCCAGAATCATATCGATACAACAATCTCAACTAAGGGCATTACCTTTCAATCTACCTTTGTCTATGGCGAACCTGACCACTCCAAGAGAATCGCAGTCTGGAACACCCTCTCAAGTCTTCAACCTCCAGATGGAACACCTTGGTTTTTGGCAGGGGACTTCAACGAAATTGTGGATAATAGTGAGAAGAAAGGTGGAGCAGTGAGAGCTGAAGGTACTTTCTGTGCCTTTAGAGCTTTCCTAGCACAAAGCGACCTCTTTGACATCAAACACTTCGGCAACTATCTATCGTGGAGGGGAAAAAGAAATTCTCACATAGTGCAGTGTCGCCTAGACCGGGCAATTTGTAATAGTGAATGGTCAGACCTCTTTCCATCCGGAAGATGTCAGTACCTCAAGTATGAGGGCTCTGACCATAGACCTCTCTTGACCTTCCTGGACACATCAAGAAGAAAAGGGTCAAAAATTTTCAGATTTGACCGACGTCTAAGGGATAATGCTGAAGTTCGTGACCTGATTAAGAAAACCTGGGACAGTGTGCCTCACCTACACGTTGAAGAGAGACTATCACTCTGCCGAAGAGAAATCTGTAAGTGGAGTAAAAAACACTTTGAAAACAGCAGAGCTACTATTGAAAATCTAAGAGTGAGACTCGATGAAGAAATGTCTCAAGCCACTCAAAACGACGATACGATCTATCAAATAAACAAAGCTCTACTCCAAGCTTATGTCAATGAAGAGGAATTTTGGAAACAAAGGAGTCGACAATTGTGGCTAACACTTGGTGACGCAAATACAAGCTATTTCCATGCGATGGCAAAGGGAAGAAAAGCACGAAACAGGTTAACAGTAATCGAAGATGACAGAGGAATACCTTGCTTTGAAGAAGCACAAATAGCAAAGGTTATATGCAAATTCTATGAGGATCTATTCAAATCAACGCACCAGGACAGTCTATCAACAGTCCAAGAAGCTCTGAAACCCTGTATCAGCCAAGAAACAAATGAAAAACTTATTGCTGACCCCTCAGCAGAAGAGATCAGAGCAGCTACCTTTGCTATACACCCCGATAAGGCCACGGGGCCTGATGGCTTCTCAACCAGCTTTTTCCAAGCTAATTGGGAGACTGTGGCCCCAGCTGTCATCAGAGAAATACAAGACTTCTTCACCTCAGGAATAATCAGAACCTCGCAAAACGAAACACATGTGAGGTTAATTACAAAAAGCTCGGGCGCAAAGAGAGTTTCAGACTACAGACCTATAGCTCTGTGTAATGTCTACTTCAAGATTATTTCAAAAATCTTATCCCTAAGGCTCAAACCGGTACTGCAAGATATTATCTCAGAAAACCAGTCTGCTTTCACTTCGGGAAGAGCAATTTCAGATAACGTTCTAATCACCCACGAGGTACTACACTTCCTAAAAAATTCTAAGGCAGAAAAACGATGTACAATGGCTGTAAAATCGGATATATCTAAGGCCTACGATAGAGTTGAATGGGAATTCTTAGAACAGGTTTTTAGAAGGCTGGGTTTCCACGAGAAATGGACTAATTGGATAATACAGTGTGTCTCTACGGTCTCCTATTCCTATTTGATCAATGATACAGCGCTGGGATCGGTGTTTCCAGAGAGAGGTATCAGACAAGGAGATCCTCTCTCACCCTATCTATTCATTCTCTGTGGTGAGGTTCTATCAGGGCTGTGCAAGAATGCAGAGAGAAACGGTACCTTGCAGGGGATAAGAGTGGCTAGAGGAAGCCCTAGAGTTAATCATCTACTCTTCGCCGATGACACAATGATTTTCTGTCAAGCAACCAAAGAAAACTGCCTGAGTTTGAAGAAGATCCTTCTGCAATACGAACACGCGTCAGGTCAACAAATAAACAAAGGAAAATCATCGATCTTCTTCTCCTCCAAAACACCAGCAGAAAGAAAAGAGATAGTCAAGGATACCTTAGGTATAACAGCAGAAGGGGGCACTGGTAAATACCTAGGCCTTCCGGAGCACTTTGGCAGAAGGAAACGAGACTTATTCACTTCTCTTGTGGATAGAATCAGGCAAAGAGCTGCTTCTCGCTCATCTCGGTTCCTGTCCAAAGCAGGGAAGCTCACACTCCTCAAAGCTGTCCTCACAGCTATTCCCACGTACTCCATGTCATGTTTTGAGCTCCCTGTGAGTCTCTGCAAGCGCATACAGTCAGTATTAACAAGGTACTGGTGGGACTCCTCTGTGGATAAGAAAAAAATGTGTTGGGTTTCTTGGCAGAAATTAACAAGACCTAAAGCTAGCGGAGGTCTAGGAATTAGGGATATTCAACTCTTCAATCAAGCACTCTTAGCTAAACAAGCCTGGCGAATCCTAACTTCACCTACTTGCTTACTAGCCAGAGTCTTACTCGGGAAATATTGCCATAAGAAATCCTTCTTAAAGGTAGACCTACCTACAGCTTGCTCACACGGATGGAGAAGTATTTTACACGGGAGAAACCTATTGAAGGATAATATTGGCAAGGCCGTTGGGAACGGGCTCACTACTAGTGTTTGGAAGGACTCATGGATCTCATTAAGTGAAAATACTATGCCTTTCGGGCCAGTCCAAGAACAGTTCATCGATCTATCGGTTTCAGACCTTCTAACATCAGACATGGAATGGAATACCAAGAGAATAGAAGAAATCTTACCGTTGCTGGCGCCTCAGATTAAGGCTATCCAACCGAGTCAAGTTAAAGCAGAAGATAAATATATCTGGCAACCTCTCCATTCAGGGGTTTATTCCACCAAGTCAGGCTATTATGCTGCAGCATCACAGAAGATACAAGAATCAGCAAACACCCATGAGCTTAACTGGATTAAAGATGTCTGGAGTGGAACCTTCTCACCTAAAATGAGAGTGTTCATGTGGTCTATTTTACAGAAAGCTCTCCCTTTTGGGGAAAATCTTCAATCTCGAGGAATCAAGGCGGAGGCAGTGTGTATACGCTGCAAGGAAAGGGAGACAGCCTGTCATATTTTTTTCCATTGCCAATTCGCAAAAGAGGTTTGGAGTAACATACCTCTCAAAAGAGATATTCGGGTTGAGGATCTTCAAGAGTTTAAAGAAGCGGTGGTAGCCTTCAGAGATGCAATCTGCCTGCCTCCATCGGGGGTAGCAAACAATATTCTACCCTGGGTTTGCTGGAGTCTATGGAAATCAAGGAACGCTCTTATCTTCGAGAACAGGAACAGCTCAGCCCAAGAAACTGCAACTATTGGGATAAGATTGGCTAACGAATGGAACTTGGCCCAGCTACCAAAGATCTCAACGACAGGCAAGGTTCGACTCGATGTGTTAAGACATCAACGCTCACATCCAGATCAAAGTCTCACATTCACCTGCAAAACAGACGCTGCGTGGAGTAAACAATCAAAGAAGGCAGGGTTAGCGTGGATTATTACAGGACCCTCCAACACCCCCCCCTTCAAGGAACAGACAGCAAAGAACATGTCAACTCACCTCTCATTGCGGAAGCCCTCGCGCTCAGATCCGCAATCAAATCTGCAGTGACCCTTGGCATTCCCGTGCTCAAGGTACTCTCTGACAATCAAACGCTCATCCGAGCTATCAACAGCGACTTGCAGGTCAAGGAAATCTATGGAATCGTCAAGGACATCCAGGAATTTTCCTCTGCTTTTGTCGATATAAACTTCTCTCACTTTCGTCGTAATCTCAATGTTGAAGCCGACCTGTTAGCAAAACAGGCTTTAATTTCGTTTTCTGTTTCAAACCCTGTTGGGCTCTAAACTTCTGGGCCTGAGGCCAATTTTAATTTAAAGTATGTTGTGTCCAAAAAAAAAAAAAAAAACTTTTAAGTTTTGCATTGATCAACTCTTCACTAAAAAAATGAACCAAAGACTTCAATAAAACAATAGTTAATGATTATCTCATGCTTTAAATTGTACTCTTGCGACGAGTTTACGTAAAATCAATACCTTTTGAAATTTTGTTCTGGCTTTTATAAACATGCATCGAGTCCATAATAAACCAAGTGTGTTGATGATGAATCTAAATGATTATAACTAATTTCAGACTATAATATTTATTATACCTAATACTTACGAATATTTGGCTATGTTTATTAGTAATGGTATAATAGGTTAATGCGTTAGGATTCATTTTCTTTACTTTGATTCTCACATTATTGACAAGCAATGTCTTTTGAAAACAAACCACTCCTACCGAAAGAAGTGTTATGAGTTTTGTAACCAAAAAAAGTAAATATAATATGCATAATTTCATTTAGAAATCGAGAAAATTATCACAAAAATTTCCTTCATTAATCATCACTTTTGGATGTTAGCATATAGAATGCTTACAATCTATATGTACTTATTATTTGCATAGGTCGGTCAATAGATCTATTGCTGGCCTACACCGATATTTGTTTTATTCGCTGTCAAAAATAAAATCTCTAAATAATTAGCTATTGGTTACTAGTTTTTGCCATCTTGGTGAAGTTACACCTTAGCTTCAATTCAATTTGCCTGGGCCTTTCCCGTTGAAGATGTTTCAGTAGAAGAAGTTGTGGAAGTTTCACTCTTAATAGCAACCTCAACGAATTGGGTTGTGACTTGTTCCCATTTGGTGATTGTCGTTTTAATCTCTGCTTGTTGTTCTGGTGTGCATGTCATTGTTCCTCCTTTCTTGCTTTGATTTTGGGCTACAATTTTAGCGTGGATTGCATCTAGTTCTTCCATAGACTTTATCACTTCTGTTTGGAAAGTTTCCATTGACTTCTTTACCTATGATATTACCAAGAAAAATAACACATGTACACATATATATTTATACAGACGTTTGGCTGTTAATATTCTTAAATAAATGATATATGCATTTTGTAACGTACTTCTGCTGATTTGCCAGTAATTCTTGAACGAATAAATTTCATGGCATCGCCTATTTTGCCAACAGCACCTTTGATCCTAGCGAATAGGCCTTTTCTCTTTGGAGAAGCAACCTTTGCGGAACCTGTCATGGTACTCTTTAGTTGCTCGAAAAACTGCTTGTATTCGTCTTTTGGTGGACACTTCTTTTCTAGGTTCATTAAGAATGCCATAACTTGTTCGGAAGTCTGAGTCTCGACTTCTGTCACTGTCACCTCTTTGGTCTGGCTAGTAGTAGTACTTTTAGTTTCACTTGAAGCAGAGTTTGATTGATTGTTTGTATCCTTAGAGGGATTTCCAGCTCCAGGGTTTGAACCGGCTGATGGCGTGTCTGTATCCTTAGAGGGAGTTCCAGTTTCAGCTCCAGGGTTTGAACCAGCTGATGGCTTGTCTGTATCCATAGAGGGAGTTTCAGTTTCAGCTCCAGGGTTTGAACCAGCTGATGGCGTGTCTGTATCCTTAGAGGGAGTTCCAGTTCCAGCTCCAGGGTTTGAACCAGCTGATGGCTTGTCTGTATCCTTAGAGGGTGTTCCAGTTCCAGTTCCAGCTCCAGCTCCAGGGTTTGAACCAGCTGATGGCTTGTTTGATGGACTTCCAGTATCGGTTCCGGAGTTAGGACTCGAAGAGTCTCCAGCGGTGGGGGTGGTGGTGGCGCTATCAGAGCCTTCGTTGGTTGTTGTTGTTGTTGTTGTTGTGCTGACTACCATAGTGTTTACGACCTTAGTAATCACAGTCTGCCACTTTAAGATCCCATCTTTGATTTCTTTCAGCTGTTCAGGTGTTAGTGTCATGGTTTCTTCCTTCTCTTCTTTCTTGCGGCCACCCAAAATTTTACCACCCAAGGTTTTCATAAACTTAAAGGTTTCGATAGCTTCTTCTTTCTCCTCTTGAATTTCCCTCTTTATCTATAATTACGTACGTATGCATGATGGAAGTAAATAAAAATTGTTTATTAGTCTAGGGCCCGGTCAGGAGTATAAACGAAGGAACCAATCGATTAGGGCATGTAATTTGTATGTAAAAGATATTATGAAAACCTTATACGAAAAATAGAACTTTTATTTGAACGTATGAATTTTTTTTTAAATATCAGAACGGCACTGATTATGATAACCTCTCTCACTTACCCTTCCAACAGCAAAAGAGGCGATGGTTTTGATGATTCCATCTTCTTTGGACTTCACTTCAGCATCGTCTTTTTTGCGAAATAAATTTAGTGGGCAAACAAACTTGGCAAATCCTCTGAGTTTGTCGAAGAACATTTTGAATTTGCTTGTTTTAGGACATTCTTTCTCGAGGTCCCCCACAAATACCATCACTACTTTAACCGTGTAGCCTTCCACATCAGCCACCGTCTTCGGATCTTCAATCTTAGGCAAAGATGGCTTTAGCTTCAGAAAAGCTGAAGCCACGTCAAAAAGGGTTACAGATGCAAATAGAATGGTGAAGCATAATAATAGATGAACTCTTGCCATTATTCTTTTTCTTTTTTTGTTTTTTATAAGAAAATTATATTTTTTGGTGAGCAATGAATTTAATGATTGAATCGAAATGGAACTATTCGTTTGTTTTTATAGTGTTTTAGTGTTCTATGTTTAGAGTCTTTGATCCTATAACTATTGAAAATTTGGTGGTCTAATGTCGAAGTTATAGCAAAGAGTTTAACGGTTCTTGCGCTTCACAAATCATTGACAGTATACCACAAAAATAACATGGTGCCTTTTCTAACATATTACATCTATTTTAGCCGTGACAGAAACACGTGAGCATATATAATTTTAGTAGTTACATGATGTCACAAATATAGTCCTAGTTAGAAAAACAATGTTAAATAAACTTTACAATAAATATATGATGCTATATATATATTTTGAAACTTTTATATATATATGATGTAATATTGGTCATTAACATATTATATCATGAAAAATTATGGTGTATATTAAAAAAAAAAGTTGTTTATAGAATGCTCCATCAGTATAAAAATCATGTTATGTAGAAAATTACAATTTTAAAAGTGTACTAGCTAGCTTTTATGTTAACATCTCCGTTCTTTCAATAACCAAGATGTAACTTCCATTATTCTCAAAAATAATATAATAAATAATAATAATTGAAATTTCCACTTAAAAGTCAAAATCTATGTCGGAAAACCAATAATAACATAATACAAAAATATCAATATAAACCGGAAAGTCTGAAATAGGAAAGGAAACCTAAGTTCAAAGATTCAAAAATCTTAAATAGAAAAAAATACTGAAACACAAAAACTTAACACAAACACCGGTCCGATATAATCATTTCTCTCTTTCTTTTCTCCTTTCAAATGAAATCGACGAGTGGTTATATTGAATCAGTGTTTTTAGGCTGTTGAACTTTTGCTTTTCAGTATTTTTTTTTGTATTTCAGACTTTTAGATCCTTGAACTTATGTTTATTTCCAGTTTTAGACTTTTGGATTTATGTTGATTTTTTCGGATTATGTTATTATTGATTTCCGACGTGGATTTTGAATTTTCAACATTTATAAATGGATATTTCAGATATTATTCTTTATTAAATTATTTTTGAAAAAAACATGCGTTACAAAAAGTTTCAAATTTACAAGTTCCATTCTTTGTTAACAATTCAGAAGATTCTTTTGATAAAATTGATTTTTATCCTTCAAACAATCATCATGCGGTTTTTATCCTTTTAAATTTAGAATAATTTGAAATACTATTTAAATCCCGTGTGAATTCATTTGCGTGTGTTGTGTAACTCACCCATATATTTGCATCTACTAGGTGATTTTCCCGTGCTCATGCACGGGTATAAATATTTATTAAGTAAATTTACTATAATAATTGATTACTATTTACTTTTAATTTTCAATTAATTTATAATTTGCATACATGATTTATATTAATAATATTATTTTACTTTAATTGGACATATTATTTTAGAAATATTATATCTAGTCAATTTTATTATTTTATAGTCGATTTTACTGTTATTATTTGGGTATATTAGATTACATTCTTTTATCTGAATTCAACTATAACATTTTTTATTCTAAATATATTAAATTTTGATTAATTCTATTATTTACTTTTAAGTTGTTTGCTGTCTCAGATGTCAATATATTTTAGAAAAGTTATTTATAACTTAAGATATATTATGCCTATAATGAAATATAAAATAATTTTGATTTCAAATTACATCAATTGATATAAAGATAATCTTTGAAGTCTCATGCATATATATAAATTTCACAAAATAAATCAAATTAAATTAATATTATTTATCATTTAAATGTGCACGTATTTTCATAATATTTATCAAGTTATATGTTTCTTTAAAATATAGTAGAAAATAAAGCAATAATCAGTAGGAAGTTACATACTTAAGTAACTCATATATTTTTGGAGATTCATGAACACATATCAATATTTACAATAACTAAAATATTTTATAAATTCTAAATAATTTTANTAAATGTGCACGTATTTTCATAATATTTATCAAGTTATATGTTTCTTTAAAATATAGTAGAAAATAAAGCAATAATCAGTAGGAAGTTACATACTTAAGTAACTCATATATTTTTGGAGATTCATGAACACATATCAATATTTACAATAACTAAAATATTTTATAAATTCTAAATAATTTTATATCTTAGATTTATTGATTGATAAACTGAAATTATTTTAAATAATCTTAAAAATGAGAATTCGGATTTGCTTTGGTATTTTTACTATGGTTATTTTAAGTTACACAAACATAAAATTAAAAAAAAATAAGAAACATATAATTTAAATAATGATAGAATATAACATATCTATGTCATTAAAGTATATAGTGGTATGATATTTTAAAATATTTTGTAATTATTTGATTAAAAGATGTTTATTGTTAAAAAATATTTTAATTTCTCTTAAAAATAAGCAGTAAAATTGTGGTTGTATTTGAGAAGTCATATTATATAAGTAAAATTTAATTTATAGATTTTTTTTTTTGCTTTAGTTGAAAGATACTATAGTCAACTAAATATATGAAAATAAATAAAATATTCAATCATTTTAATTAAAAAATATTTTAGTTAATAAAAACATATACTTGTTTATGTTACTTAAAATTATGTTTAAAAGTAAATTTTTTTTTTCAAATATCAAAATTATATGTGTGAATTTTTTGTTATGAAATCACATATATAAAGATATATATTTTCATATAAGAAAATACAGATATAAAGAAAGTATTTTATTAATTAAAAAGTACATTTTATGTTATTTAAAATATTTTTAATGGATGTTACTATTTTGTTAATTTTCCTTTTTAATGAAATCATATTATATAAACATATATTATCGTTTTTAATTTTTCCTTTTAAATTTTATAGATGTGTTTTCTATTATAAATTTTAGTTGGAAATTTTTAAAAAGGAAACTAAATACAAAATTAATAATACTATTTTACTATTTTGATAGTATATTACTATTTTGTGAACTTTCCTTTTTAATGAAATCATATTATATAAACATATATTTTCTTTTTTAAATTTAATAATTTTTTTTTCTTTTTTATTATAAAAGTTATTTGGAATGTTTTAAAAAGGAAACTAAACATAAAATTAATAATATTATTTAAATATACTATTTAAATATATTCATTAAGGGTATCATAGTAATCAACCGGTGTAAGAGTCAACGTGAGCGCGCCACATAGGAAAATGACTTCTCAAATAATATTACAGAGATGTGTTATAAATTCAATCCAATTCACCTTTATTTGTTTCCCTAAAATGGAGATAGTTATATTTATCTCTATATATAGAGAAAAAAATAGAATTCTTCTATAATAGAGGTATATATTTTTATTTACATAATAGTCCTTTAATCTTTTATGATCATAACTAAAATACTTGTTTATGAAAAAATACAATATATTTACGTATAAAACAAAACTTCTTTTTTTTTTTACAAAATAATTTTTACTTTTTAAATATTAGAAATAAAATTAATAAATATATAATTATTTTATTTGAAAGCCTATCTTTGTAAGTAAAAATAATATTTAAAATTTGTATTCAAGATTAAAATTATTAATTATAATTTAATTATTAAAAGGTCTTCATAGATATTAAATATTTATAAACAAAATTAATTTGAACTTAAATATTAGTTAATACAACATATTGAAACAACTTAATACTTTGGTAAATTATTTCCAGATCCACAAAAATCGTTAAAATATTGTGCAAACGAAGTGGATGGAGGAGGAGCTTGTTGATTTTGTTGTTGGTGACTGCGCTTTTGCAAAATATATGCTTTTTCTGCTTGGAAATATTCACGATCATTTGGATCTTCTATAAAATTTTAAGTCACAAAATAAAATTTTGTTTTCTTCCTTCATCCCTTTCAAAGCATAAACTTGTCTTTGAATCTCTAACTAATGTTGTCTTTATGTCTAATGACTTTTTGTAATAAAATGTTTAATTTAAATAATAATGTGTATTTATGAAAAGATCGATAAGTGATAATGAATGAGTTAATTTTTAACGTTTATAAGTTAAAATTGTTAATTTCAAAAATTAAAAATAAGTTTTTAAGAATACGTTTTTAGAGAAAAAAATAGAGGAATATATTGAAGAAAAATTCACCTCTATTATATAGTTCATAGGAAAAAAATAGAAGAATATATTGGAGATGGTGTAAGACATGATTAGAGGAAGAAGAAAATGAAAATACGCATGCAACAGTGTTCATTGATCCAAACCTAAACTACGAAATGTGTTCACTATTTATTGATGAGAAATATCCCACATCGGAAATATAAGAATTAATCTACTACTATATAAAGGGTTAGGGCCAATCCACTTATCACCGATTGGTTTTAAGTTGGAAGCCCATAATAACCCGAATCTAACATGGTATCAGAGCGATAAGATCCTTTGACCTAATTTACTACAATTACTACTATATCGATGTTGGACCCTTTGTGGATGTTATTCCCACATTGTCCACGCTTCAGACCTAGAGATGTCTGAACTTGAGGGAGGGTATTGATGAGAAACATCCCACATCGGAAATATAAGAATTAATCTACTACTATATAAAGGGTTAGGGCCAATCCACTTATCACCGATTGGTTTTAAGTTGGAAGCCCATAATAACCCGAATCTAACACTATTCTTATTTCTTTTAGGATTCTTAAAAACTCTTCTTGTGTTATCTTCTTTCTTTTTTTTTGTGTGTCCCATGTCCTAAAAAATGCTCCTGTTTTTGTAGCTCGACACTCACCCCAACACAGACAAGTCAACCCCGATAAAAAAATTAATATCATAACTAATTTACTTCTGCGTTAATCATATTATTACATGTACTAAAACAAGTCAAATCTAAATATAAAAAGTGGATATACCATAGAATATAGTAAGTTTTAACAAATCTTAGATTACGGACGAGTGAAATCCGGATTTTATTTTGAACGTGTCTAATTATTGTGTATACGCGAAGGCATTACGTGTTCACTCTGTTATGTATGTAAAAGTAAATTACATGATGATAAATGACCTTCGCGTTCTACAAACAAAAAGGCGTGGAAAAGGAACGATTTACAAAGGTCCGAACAAAATCATTAATGGGTGTCGCGTAATTCGCTTGCCGTTTGGGGAAAGGCGTGAAAGTCACTTAAGCCACACCTGGGAAACAAACTCACAACGCGCCTCGGCTTTCGCAAGCGTCACGCTTTTTTTGATAATCTCTCGCCCACGTGAGAGCAAAGACAAAACAGTCTCTCGGGTGAGAGCCGAATATCCTAACCAGCTAGACTACTACGGATTTTGTTAGCAAGGCTACAATTATCATAAAAGTTTCTTAGCTGGGAAAAATATTGCAAATTGTTTTTGTATATATATGTGTTTTGTTTTGTTTTCTATCTATAACAGAAACGGTTTGTTTGTTTACGTTTAGAAGCTGTCTTGAAAGGTGAATGTCATAGTTTTGTAGGTTCCCGAAAATAGTCCAGGTTCCTAACGCATTTTCCATACGAAAAGTAGAATCAAGAGCATATCTATATTGTTGTACAGATTATTTGTTTTTATAAAGTCCTTGTACATATATTACCAAGATAATTTTGTGTAAAGTCCTTAAGGACAAAGGAATACCTTGCTTTCTTAGTTCACCATTTGAAGCTTTATGTATAAAGATTTGATCAAATAAGCTAGAAACTTGAATTTCAGTTGTGGACATCACATTCGAAGTAGCCATACACTCTACATTTCCCAAAGAAGCGGTAGCCTATAGTAATTCCCACAATAGTTGGACATTATCTCCCGTGTGTTACAAGAAACAGACGATAAGTTCATCAAACTTAAGATCCTATAATTTTTTATCCGTCTACATCTAAAAACTGCTTAGAGTGATGACGACATATTATTTTACATGTTAAGATCGTTGTGAGATGAAATGAGATTCACAGTTCAGATGATTAATCTAAGAACACAACTTATTATTTCCACATGTGAACACTTGGTAGGTAATAATACTTCATTACAGTTATTCATAACCCTTCGAAGGTTTCTCCAATGTTCCATGTCCGGTGCTTTCTAACGTGTATTGGTCATGGCAAATGATAATGATGCAACTTCTTTCATCATCATTTATGCAAAGTGACAATTACACCTTTCAATCTCTCCCTCCGAAGACCAAGTTGCAAAGGTGCTGAGCATTTGCTACTCCAGTGCTCTGAACCATCCCAAAGAAGGCGCTTGTATCTCTTGATAGCAATTCTTGTGGACTATCATACTCCAAAGCCTAAGAAACATTTGCACATTTTCTTTTTAATGTAAGATTTTACACAAGGATGTTGCCAAGCTGTATCAGAATCCTTAAGTAATAATCTTGACATTACCTGACCAGAACTAAGCACAAGGATCTTATCACAGTCGATGATGGTATTCAACCTGTGAGCGATAACAAGCATTGTGCAAGACTTGAATTCCTCTCGGATGGTCCTTTGTATCAGAGTATCTGTTCTGACATCAACAGATGCAGTTGCTTCATCCAGAACAAGGATCTTTGATCTTCTTAGCAAAGCACGCACTAGACTCAACAGTTGCCTTTGCCCCATGCTGAAATTCTCACCTCCCTCAGAGACCTTCACAGATTCAAAGTTTGATCAATCATCTCCATAACAACAACAAAAAAAAAAAAACAAAGAAGTCCTTACACTAGTATACCTCAGTATCTAGTCCTAAAGGATTCCTGGCGATAACATCTTTCATATGGGCCCTTTGTAGAGCCTCCCAGAGGTCAGCATCATTGTGCTCATCAAATGGGTCAATGTTGAATCTCACCGTCCCTAACAAGAAGAAGAAGAAGAAGAAGAAATGATTCTCAGAATGCGAAAACATACTTACATCGTCGTCTTAGATTACAAACAAACCTGAGAAAAGCACTGGAGATTGTGGTATGATACTCAGCACCCTGCGCAGATCTGTCAGTCCAAACTTAGCCACATCACAATCATCAATCATGATTTTTCCCTTTTCCACTTCAACAATCCTAAACAATGCATTCAAAACAGAAGACTTCCCTGCACCAGTTCTTCCCACCACTCCTACTTTCTCACCGGGAGAGACAGAAAATGACAGTCCATGTAATACAATAGGCAGCCCTGGCCTGTAACGCAGGTGAACATCTTCAAACTCGATAGAACCTCTTGAAGGCCAGCCAGGCACTGGACGGTTGCTCTCAACTATCTCTGAACCCTCCTCAGAAGGAAGATCAATGTAGTTACCGACTCGCTCAACAGAATTCAAGCTGTTCTCTGCTTTGCTAGCTTGTCTTAGAACACCACTCATTAGAGTAGTGATATTCAGAGTATAGCTAAGAAGAAGACCCATCGTTGATGCAAAACTAGCTTGGTTCTCTGCATTACTGCTTCTCATAACCGCAAAAGTTGCAGTTAACCAAATCATCACACCTCCAAGAGTCTCCAATCTTATAGTGAGCCAACGGTTACATGTAGTATTAGCAAGAGTGAACCTTATGTTGTTGTCCACGGATTTTCCATTAATCTTTGCCATCCGATCATAGGCTTTATAGGCTCGGATGCTTGACAAACCATTCAATGCTTCTCCGAATTGAGCATAAATAGGTGATCTTGCAACCGAATCCATACGTCTTACTTCACGGGATGTGTTCTACAACAGAAAAAAAACAAAACTCATTATAATTTCAAAAGAGTATATGTATTTGATGTAACATGACGTATAAAATTTACCTGATAGTAGAGATATGCAGCATAAAAGAGTATGAGGAGTGGCATTATTGCCCACAATGAAATGGTACTAACAGCACCAATAAGAGCAAACGTCGAGAGGAGTTGCCACAGCTGGCTCATGAACATATTCATTAGGTTGGCGACAGTTCTATCTATGTCACCAATATCTTTAGAGAACCTGTTTATTACACGCCCTGTTGGGTTTGTGTCGAAGAAGAGCATGGGAGCTCTCAAGATAGAGTTTAGCATTGCCTCATGGAGTGTTTTGGCCGCATGTAAACTTGATGTCAGAAGCCAAAAGGAGTTGGTAAACGTCACAGCAACCTAAATCAAGAGGACCATTGTCAAAGTCAAATTTGTGAAACATACTAGAGAGATCTCAGTCTTTTGTCAGAAACACAAACCTGACCAAAACCGAAAAGAGCAAACATTACAATGTAGAAACCGGTACTGTAACTCTTCGACGTGCTTTGGTCAGCCCAATAACTTAACCATGTGCAGCTTGTAAGTCGGAGAATTTCAGTTGTTACATAGCATGCCAAGAGAATCAAAACTACCCATAAGCCTCCTACTGCATTTTTATACCTGAAAAAAAAAATAGAAAGTACCTTAGCCATCATCTCTTTGTATCAAAGCTGAGCTAACTAGTACCTCATCAGAACGTTCCAACTAATGATGCCAGACTCTCGTTCTTCTTGCTTGACAAGCACGGATCTTCCATGTTTCCCTTGCTTGGTACTGCCTAGTTTTATCTCACTAGCATCAACATTTACAGTAGGATCTTCAGATATCTTCTCATCATCAACTTTGCTCATCTCTTGGTTTGCATCCATTTTCCCAGCATTCTCCATCAATTTCTGGAACAAACTACCATTTACTGACAGCTCTTCGAAGGTTCCTTCCTCTTTAATCATTCCCTCTGAGACTAAAATAATTCTATCCATCATAGGAAGAAGATGTAACTGATTTGTGATAAGAATCCTCGTTTTCTCCTTCAGCTCTTCCTTCATGCAACTATCAAAAACCTGTTACAAAAGGTAGAGTTTGGTGTCATGCAATGGCAACACTCATTGTTTTGTAAAGGGTCAACCATATACCTGCTGAGCAACATGAGCATCTAAAGCACTCAAAGGATCATCGAATATGTAAACATCTGAATTTGAGTAGACTGCTCTAGCCATTGAGACTCTCTGCTTCTGCCCTCCACTGATATTCACCCCACGTTCTCCAATCTCTGTAAGATCACGGCCCTGAATAAGCGAAATTTAGCAAGTTACTAAGATATGTCATACCAAGTACATGTTATGTAAAAGCCTTTTTATCCCACTTAACCGGAAGCAAATCAAGATCGTGTTGTAAGGCAGTCACATCAATAGCCCTCCAATATCTTTCCCTTTCAAAATCTGACCCAAATATAATGTTTTCACGCACCTGCAATACATAGATGAAAATAAGGTTACTGATTGCTAAGCTGTAATCTTTGTTTACAGAGCCACTGGGAAGTAACTAAAGGTCACTCACAGTGGCATTGAATATCCATGAAACTTGAGGAACATAAGCTACGGAGCCTCTAATGACAACGCTTGAGGTTTCACCATGAGATAACTCTCCCAACATCGCCGAGACAAGTGATGTCTTACCTTCTCCGGTTCCACCTACAATGGCAACCAAACTTCCTACTGGTATCTCCAAATTGATATTAGATAATGTGGGCTTTGTTGTCTGTAAAATATCCATGAACATTTCAGAAAGTTATGTACTGTTGCATCTCAAGATATTCTAAACAAGTGGGAATATTTAGAGGATTCACCTTTGAATCCCATGAAAAGTATCCATTCTTAATTGAAATGGCTGGAGCTCCTGGTTGAAGAGGTGGGTTTTGTGCTAGAACTCTCTCTTCACTGAGAAGTAGGTCCTCAATGCGTTGTAGTGAAACATTTGCGTTGACAGCCTAAGAGAAGATTAAGCAAAGATAATATAGACTAGTTTGATTAGGTAACACATAAAATCATTGAGGAGGGCATGATGATTGTTATAATTTACCTGACTTAGTAGATTTGGTAGCATGTTGAGAGGAGATCTTAGAACTGAGAAGAGAGAAAGAGATGAGAATGCTCTTGCTGGTGTCAAATCTCCTCCCAACAGAACAAAAACCCCAAATGAAACCACAGTCACAACTACTGGGGTGCTGTTAAGTATAAAACTGTTAAACTGCAAGAAGTAAAAACGTTATAAATGAAAAAACATAACTTATCAAAAATAGGTTTATCCTAAAACCAAGCCCTATTTGTATAAGTAACGAAAGGCAATACAAAATCAGTGAATAGGAGAGTCATACAGCTGATAGTAACTGAGCTTTTCGAAACCAGGAGAGCTCTTCGTTTCTAATTCCTTCAATACGTGACTCAAAGCTCTTTTCCCATGCATAGCATCTAACAAAGTCCCCAAAAAAAATAGTAGAACAACTGCTTTAAGAATGTGACATTCAGAAAAGCTGAAAAAGAACATCTATCATCATACGTACTTTACAGTATCCATGGATGCCAAGATCTCATTCGTGATACCGACTCTTTTGTCAGTCCATTGGAGTCCTTCTTTAGTCAGTTTCCTCATTTTGTTTATAATCAGAGTCTGTTTATCAAGAAACCGAATTAATAAATGGACACAATGATGCAGTCACCACAACGTGTACTATTCAGTAAAAGAACATTATAATGAAGCTTTATACCTGGAGAGGAATTAGGAGAAACAGAATCAGTGAACCGAAAAGCGAAGCAACTCCTAGTTGTTGATAGAGAAGAATAATAGACATAATAATGCGAAAGGGAGCTGACCATAAGCCATGGAGCTGTTCTACTATCAGCTGAAAAAAATTGGGAGACTATGTTAGCAGCAGTTACAAATCATTAGTTGTACAAAGTAGTGAACCGAAGAATACCTGAAGTGCATTAGCATCTGCAGTTATCATATTTGTGACCTTTCCAGATGTGAAATTCTTGCGAGCTTCATGAGTTAGTCTTAGAGATTTGTGGAATACAGCTGCTACCTACAAGGAAATTTTGTTGGAGAATAAACATAACTAAATGAATGTAAGGGAAGGGAAGGTTCACAAAATTTTACCACTGTTGACCTCAACCTAAATGCCGCACGTCCAACATGCTGAAAGTATTGAGATTGACAAAGCACACCTAGTGTCTGAGGTTTTAAGAGGTTTCAACAAGAAATAACTACAATGTAAGAAAACCAAAAATGACAGTTAAGGAAAATGTAAATGATACATACCACTCCAACGAAAATTAAGAAAGCATAGACATAGCCAACCCAAGCTGGATCATCGTCTTGCATTGACTACATAAAGTGATCAAAGTTTTGATTTAGTTAGATTGAATTGGTCTTATATATTTGCCTGATATAATGTTCACTATGCAATATTTGTTTTAGTAAAGATTAGGCAGAAACAAAGCTTACCTGCAACAATTGGCTCAGTATAAGCGGTCCAACAAATTGAGAAAGATCATGTCCAATCTACAACACGCTAAAACATGATGTGTTATTAATTGCTTGAGTGTTGTCAAATACATGACTGAACATTACTGTGGATCTGTACTATTTATAGTAAAATAAAAAATCAAGAGCTTTTCTGATATCTATATATTAAGCAACCGAGAGGCAGAACACGAGTATATTTACCTTAAAAATACCACCAAACCAGAACCTACAAAGATAGAAAACAGAAGTTATTGCCGGTATCGATAATGCGTGGCTTTAAAGTAAACTATGCTAAAAAGATTATCAGCCTTTACCGTCCACCAAGGCTTTTATTCAGTGCTCGGAGAAGCCATGGCTTGCTTCTCCGTGATTCTTCCATCCAACATCTTTGAAATCTGACAAATAATTCATTCAAGGGATAAGAATGTTCTTGATACTTAGCAGAACAAAAAAAAAAAAAGAGATCCTAGTGAAGGCAGAAAGCAAAGCAGCAACACTAAATGTACCTTTTGATCAAAGTGTCTGTTTGGTCCCATTTATCTAGTTGCCAAACATCCTTCTCGGTTAAGGGCTTTCTGTAGCCTAACTGCATAAGCGGCGTGATCCAATCAAAGAATATTCCTAAGACAAAGAAACTATAATCAGTAGGCCAGATAGAATGAGCATTCAACAAATTTCTTTTTATCAATTTAGGGGGCTACCTACCTGTAAAGAAGCCAGCACGTCGCTCGGGACATATGTTCTCTCTCTCAGGGAGGACATCATATTCAACATTGTCTAATGATGATTCATTGTTTAGAGTATGGTAACCGTGGTAAATATCTAGTTCCGGAACGTAAACAAGAAGCATAACTCCAAAGAGAACCTGAAACAGAAAACAAATCAATATATAACCAGTGAGGCTAATCATTTTACTGGTAACATATCTCAAACATCAACCTTAGGGACCATGTTCTACCAACCTGAGCACATCTTGAACTGATACAGAGATATAGTGCAGTTCTGCGATAGCAAATATAGGAAAAATTATATAATGAAAATTCAGATCTACCAAATCCCCAAAACCTGTTATTGCTTAAATTTGTAAATATATAAACAGACTCATGAAATTTTACATGTCGAATCACCCAGTTGAGTTCTTTAATATGAGATAATACAATAGCAAACCTATTCAGTGAGTTTTGGAGAGGTAACACAAGGTCCAGCAGCACAGCATCAGCAACCAAAACATAAACAACACCAAATCTCACGTACCATCTGAATTCTTTGACATATCTTTTGGTTTCTAACCAAACCAAAGAAAGCATGGAGAGCCAAGCGGATGCCTCGACGATTAAAGATGCAACCTGCCATTAAATAATTAACACCATAATCATCACATTTCTGATATTCTACTTTCTTCATTTTATAACAAAAAGGGCGGTGGGATCTCAGTAAACCTCAAAGGGAGGAAGATGATTCTTTCCATCCATGCCAAAGAGTGAAATCCGCAAGACCAATCTTAGTAGAGGCTCAACAACACAGTAACAAGCCAATATCCCTAGCACACAGTTATAGTACTTGTTCCTCAAAACATACATCTGAGCTTTGACGTTGCCGAAGATGATCCATGTCCGGTACAAACACAGACCAAGAAGCACAAATTGAGAAGAAAACATTACTAATGAGTCTATGGCGCATGGCGTGTAAGCACCAAAGGCACCATCCACTGTTTTCTCCCAAAATCCTTGGGCAACTGGCTTGCAGTACCAAGCCAAGGCCTCAAAACCCATACTTCTCGAATACCCAAAACTGGAAAAATACAAAACGAAATGCATATTCTTAGTACTATTAAAAAGACAATGCAACACACGTTACAACAGTTTCATGCCCAAATCAAAACATCTAACAAAGTCAACAATCATCAGTGATCAGTAAAAAGCCAACAAAAATTTTAATTAGTAGACCGACAACAAAAGACAAGAATTTTTGATCATCCAAGTCAACGTATCAAAAGCATCAAATCCATTTCGCAAAAAGGCCAAAACCTTTTAACGAAAAGCATCAACCTTTTAGTGAGATACTAAAAAAGACACGAAGCAACTTAAAAACGTCTATGCAGAGAAGAGGTGAGGGAGGAAGAAGAAGAAGAGAGAAGCTTAAACCTAAAGTTTGATCCTGTGATCGTAAATGAATCAAAGTTTTGGAGCTTTGTCACAATTCACGCAAGTTTATATATTAATTAGTATAAAAAGGGAGACCTTTTGGGGGTTAGAATTTAAGTCGTCAAGCACGTAAGCAGCTGGATAAAAAGGAACTTTCGTAGATATAAAATGCATGATCTCCAAATCTGTGTGCAAATATTTATAATGTAAATGATCCCATTGGCAATTGTTAGAAAGACAGACAGAATGCATAAATAATTTGAAGGAGAAGTTCCATAACCCCAGTCTCTCTCTTTTCCACTGTATTTCCTACTTGCCCAATATTTACGTTCTCTTGAATGTTACTTTAATACCTTTCTCTATACTCAATCAACTATTTTATCTTTCTTCAAATATTTTATTTATATTTTTGGATTCGTTCAATTTTTTCTCTTGTTTATTTAGTTTTTAGGAGTTAAAATAACAATTGTATTAAGCATATATGTAAAACATAGACATATATATATATATATATATATGTATATGATTCTATTTGTATAAGTTTTGATTAATATATTAATTAAGTAAAGTTTGCCTCACTGAACTTTGTTCTAGATTTACCTTCACCATTTCCATTAATAAAAATCACAATTCAAAGATGTAAAGCATTTTTATTTTATTTTTTATTTTTTTGCTAACTAAGTACCCTGACCCCGTCGTAATAGTCCAGATTAGAGATCGAAGTGAGGAAAGATACTGTCAGGACGTCACCATGTGGCTCGCCTATAAAGGTATTTGGTTTCAGGTTGGAGAGACCGCGTGTTAAATCCCACATTTTTTATTTTATTTTTATCACACTTGTTTTTTTTTCTTTTTTTAACTAAATATTTTTTTTTTACTAAGTTTTTTTTATCACACTTATTCCTAGTGCAAACAATAATTAATACGTATGAAATGGGATTATTGTTGGAAAAGTGGCCAGGACCACGAAGTTTCGTCGTCATAACTTGGCTGAGTTTAATTTGGGGTTTGGCTTTGTGTGTACGTGATCGCGTTTGGATGGAATAAGTAACATAGAAAAAATAATTTCAACTGTGGATATCACAGTCTCAACAACCTATGATTTAGGGAAATTTGGTTGGTTGTATCATAAGTTGGTTGTGAAAGAATTTAGCAAACCCTTTCTCAAAAAGAAAAGCTTAGCCTATATAATAAATGAATCCGTAAATTTGGTTCTGAAATTATTGTTTTCTCGATAAAAAAGAAGGCTATAATAAATGGATCTCCACGGTTTTTTAAAAATAAAAAAAGAAAAAAAATGGATCCGTAAATTTGTTTGTGAAATTATTTTTTTCTCGATAAAAGATTATAGTTTTTCAATAAGAGTGTATATGAGAAACTGACCGGCAAATTTCTGCCTCATTTCCATTTATAAAAAGTGAAAACGTATGAAAATGGGATCGACGTCATGTCACCTCTATTGAGGAAATAAAAAACATTAGTGAAAGACCACGAAGTTTCTTCGTCATAACTAGGCTTAAAGTTAATTTGGAGTTTGGCTTTCTGTCTAAGTAATCGCATTTAGACAGAACACCAATTAAATTAGGGAAAAATAATTTTCAATTGTGGATATCACAGTCTCAGCAATCAAAACACTCTCCTGCCAAAAAAGCGTAGCCTGTATATATAAAATGGACACTTTGTTCCGTGTATAACAAGAAACACAAAATCAAAGTTCATCAAAATGATATCTGTATGGGACAAGTGATGTAAGCCCTTCTTCGTCTACATCTCCACGTTGTCCCAGTCAAACGATCTCCCCTCTAAATTGTAATCCGAGTGTTGCATTCGGTTCTTCGCCAATCTGCTCATGACAGCAAGCCCTGAAATTGTGTAACACACACAATCTTAGAATCAAGAAACTTCAAAAAATTCTCTATGAAATATAGTAGAGAGATCCTATAATAGCAACGGTACCTTCGACCATTTTGTAAAGAGATGGCCACCAACGCTCCCTAGAGATATCATTTTGGGTAAGAGACTCGTCAATCTCTTTATCGTGTTTCCCTTCCAAAACACTACGTAGGGTGACTACAGCGTCTTTGGTTCTCTTCAAAATGCTGTTATCATCTTTAATCTCAAGGCTTTGAAGGTCGTTGTGAGATGAAGTGAGACTCACAGCCAAAGCAAACTGAGCAGCTGCAGCCCAACGAGAAGAAGCTTGCCATTTCCTTTGACCTTCCAAAGGTTGTGATGAATCTGCCTCTCTGATACGTTTGTTTTCAAGGACTATACCACGTAAGTACTCAGCATTTGCAGGTCCTGTGCTTTGAACCATCTTCGAGAAAGAACTTTCTCCGTTTGAAAGAAGATTCTCCGGTGTACTAAACTCCTGAACTTTTCCAGAATCAAGGACGAGAACTTTGTCACAGTCGATGATGGTATTGAGACGATGAGCGATGATTAGCATAGTGCATGACTTGAATTCTTCTCGGATGGTCTTTTGGATGAGAACATCAGTTCTAACATCAACAGCAGCAGTTGCTTCATCAAGGACAAGTATCTTAGATCTTCGCAACAATGCACGTGCAAGACTCAACAACTGTCTCTGTCCAACACTGAAGTTCTCTCCTGCCTCAGTGACCTGTCACCAAATAGACTTGAGGGTTACTCTAATGAACACAAGAGACTACCAAGAGAGGAAACATGTTATAAAAAGACTAAGTACCTCAGCATCAAGGCCAAGAGGGTTTCTGCGGATAGTGTCTTTCAAGTGTGCCCTCTCAAGAGATTCCCAAAGATCAGCGTCGTTGTGTTCACTAAACGGGTCAAGATTGAATCTCACAGTACCTACATAAACAAAACACATCAGTTATTTACTTGTAAGACAAGTAAAAACAAGTACTAGAAGACGTACCTGAGAAAAGCACTGGTGCTTGAGGTATGATTCCAAGAACTTTACGTAGATCCATCAGTCCAAACTTGCCAATGTCACAATCATCAATCAAGATCCTTCCCTTTTCCAGCTCAACGATCCTGAACAAAGCATTCAAGAGGCTTGACTTCCCAGCACCTGTCCTTCCAACGATCCCCACCTTATCCATTGGAGAAATGAAGAAGGAAACCTCATGAAGCACAGGAGGTAACTCAGGGCGGTAACGAAGAACAACATCTTCGAACTTGATGGAACCAGATGATGGCCATCCAGGAGGTGGACGGTTGTCTTCAATGACCAAAGGAGCCTCTGATGGTGTCTCTATATAGTTTCCAACACGCTCAACAGAGTTTAAACTATTCTCAGCTAGACTAGCGAGTCTCAGTACAGCTGTTAAAGAGCTTGTAATACTTAAAGCATAACTGAGAAGCAAACCCATTGTAGACGCATATGCTTGTTGGTTCTCTGCTTTTCCATTCTGCATGACGGCTAATGATGCAGTCAACCAAACCATGAGACCTCCCAGAACTTCCAGACGGATTCCCAGCCACCTGTTTGCACCCATGTTTACAAGCGTGAATCTGATGTTATTATCCATTGATCTTCCGTTGATCTCAGCCATGCGGTCGTATGCTTTATAAGCACGGATACTTGAAAGTCCATTCAATGCTTCTCCGAACTGAGCATAAACTGGGGATCTTGAAACCGAATCCATACGTTTAACTTCACGAGATGTGTTCTACAATAAGGAAAGAATGGTTTTACAATAAGGAAAGAATGGTTTAGCACACAACAGTAATCTGTATTGTGTTTAAGAGGTATGTTACCTGGTAGTAGAGATAAGCTCCATAAAACACGACCAAGAGGGGCATGATGGCCCACAGGGACAGAGTGCTGACAATGCCAATCAAGATAATAGTTGAAAGAAGCTGTGCTATTGAACCCATAAACATGTTTACAAATACTGCCACCGTTCTGTCAATATCACCCATATCTTTTGCGAATCGATTGATTATCCTTCCTAATGGGTTGGTTTGAAAGAAGACCATTGGAGCCCTTAGTATGGAACCAAGCATAGCATCATGCATCTTTTTGGCTGCGTAGAGACTGGCCATAATCAACCAATATGAATTGACCAACGTCACAAACACCTGAAACCAAAGAGCAATAAGTCTTAGCACAAAAGTAATGCTCGGAAGAACATGGTGTACATTCTTTCTTATTTGATCTGCCTTTGAACGTTCAATGATACATTGTTAAGCGATCATGTCTTTAAAATATGGACTCAGTCATTTACCAAATGCAACACGTACCTGTCCGAAGGAAAGAAGAGCGTAGATAATATTATAGAAGAAGGGTCCATGACTCTTTGGAGTTCCTGCATCAGTCCATTCACTCAACCAAGTGCTGCTTGCAACTCGAAATACTTGAGTCAAGACGTAGCATATAAGGAGCATCATCACCACCCATCCACCTCCAAGTGCATCCTGGTACCTGGAACATGGTAACACCACAGTAGTCATTACAATGACCTTCAAATACGAAGCTCAGCAAAAAAAACATGAATAGAAGAAGTTGAACAACATATGTCCATTTTGTAGTAAAACACCACACGTGAATTGACATTTTATGGATAGAAAAGTTATATACAGAGGAAGATTCCAACTTACCTCTTCAGGACTTTCCAACTCACAACTCCAGTTTCACGTTCTTC